TCAAAGACACTACAAAAAAGAGAATTACAGATGAATAGCCCTGATGAATATAGATGTAAAAATTCTCAATAAAATACTAGGAAACCAAATTCAACAATACATTAAAAGGATTATACACCATGATGAAGTGGAATTTATACCAGGGATGAAAGTATGGTTCAGTATCACCCAAACAACTAATGTGATACATCACATCAACAAAACAAACAATAAAAAATCATATGATTATCTCAATAGATGCAGATAAAGTATATGACCAAAGTTCAGCATCCATTTATGATAAATACTCTCAACAAAATGGGTATAAAGGAACTTATCTCAACATGATAAAGACTATGTATAAGCCCACAGCTAAAATTATACTAAATGGTGAAAAGCTGAACACTTTTCCTCTAAGATCAGGAAGAAGACAAGAATGCTCACTCTCACCACTATTATTCAATATAGTATTGAAAGTCCAGGCCACAGTCATCAGAAAAGATAAAGAAATAAAAGGCATCCAAATTGTAAAAGAATACATAAAACTGTTATTATTTGCAGATAATGTGACATTATATACAGGAAACCATAAAGAATCCACCAGAAAATTAATAAATGAATCCAGTGTAATAGCAGAATACAAAATTATACAAATCTGTTGCATTTCTATACACTAATAATAATCAGAGGAAAAAATTAAGAAAAACCATTTATAGTTCCATCAAAAAGAATAACATATCTATGAATAAATTTAACCAAGGTGAAAGATCTATACTCTGAAAACTATGAGACACTAAAGAAAGAAACTGAAGTGGAAACAAATAAATGGAAAGACATGCTATACTCATGGACTGGAAGGCTCAGTTTTATTAAAATGACTGCACTGCCCAAAGTAATTACAGATTTAATGCAATCCCTATCAGAATACCAATGCCATTCTTCTCAGAACTAGAACAAATAATTCTAAAATTTATACGGAATCACAAAAATAAACCCCCCACACACAAATAGCCAAAGCAATCTTGAGAAAGAAGAACAAAGCTGGAGACACCACACTTCTTGATGTAAAATTATAGGACAAAATTATAATAACCAAAACAGTATGGTACTGGCACATGACTCAACACACAGATGAATATAACAAAAGAGAGAGCCCAGAAATAAACCCTCACTTACATGGTTAATCTACAAGAAAGAGGATAAGAATCTACAATGGAGAGTCTTCAACAAGTTGTGTTAGGATACTGGACTATTCTGTTACACCATATACAAAAATAAAACTCAAAATGGATTAAGGCCTTAAATGTTAAGACCTAAAATCATTAAACTCCCAGAAGAAAACAGAGGTAGTAAAATATCTGATATTAATCTTAGTAATATATTTTTGGATATGTATCCTCAAGCAAGGGAAACAAAAGCAAACATGAACAAATGGGACTTCATCATACTAAAAGCTTCTGTATAGCAAAGGAAACCTACAAAACAAAAAGACAACCTACTGAATGGGAAAATATATTCACAAATGATGTATCTTATAAGAGACTGATACCTAAAATATATAAGGAACTCACATAACTCATTAACAAAAATAAATAAATACTCCAATCAAAAAACAGGCAGAGAACCCAAAGAGGCATTTTCCCAAAGAAGACATACAGATGGCCAGACGTATGAAAAAATGTTCAACATCACTAATCATCTGGGAAATGCAAATGAAAATCACAGTGAGATATCACCTCATACCAGTTAGAATGGTATTATCAAAAAGTCAACATAAGTGTTGGCAAGGATGTGGAGAAAAGGGAAACCCTTATGCACTGCTAGTGGGACCAAAAATTGGAGCAGCCACTACAGAAAACAGTAAGGAGGTTATTAAAAAATAAAATAAAATAGAACTAACATACAACCCAGCAATTCTGCTTCTGGTTATTTATGCAAAAAAAAGAAACCATTAATTTAAAAAGATATATGCTCCACTATGTTCACAGCAGCATTATTTACAATAGCCAATATATGGAAGCAACAGAGGTGTCCATCAATAGATGAGTGGATAATGAAGATATGGTACATATACATAATGGAATATTCTGCTACTTACAACAACATGGATGGACCTGAAGGGTATTGTGCTACATAAAATAAGGCAGACAGATAAAGAGAAGTACCACATGATTTCACTTATATGTGGAATTTTTAAAAAATCAAAACAGAAGAAAAACGGACTCATAGAAACAAAGAACAAATAGTTCATTGCCAAAGGAGTGGGAGGTGGAGAGATGGGTAAAAAAAGGTGAAGCGGAATATAGTTAATAGTAGTGTGATAAATTTGCATGGTGACAGATGGTTACTGGACAGTGTGGTTTAGCTCTTTGTATTATATAAATGTCGAATCACTGTGTTGTATACCTGAACCTAATATAGTATTTTATGCCAACTATAATAAAAATAATTGCTTTGAAAATAAGCTTAATCTATTTTAACGAGTTTTGCTTTTTCTTCAAAATGTAACACCCCCGGTTCTTTACATCTAGGCATAAGCTCCACCCCAAACTGCTCAATGCAATTTACAGAGTTTTCCAGAGCTTCTAGGTCTACCATCCCCGAACCTTCAGTGGGCCAACATGGTTTTAAATAGCTTCCACAAAGTGTACAAGGCAGCTCAATCCCCCAGAACACCAGTCATCTGATCCCTGATGTCATTCTAGGCCAATTCCATTAGCTAGTTGAGTGTTGCAGTTATCGTATTTGTAGTTATAGTAATAATGGTAACAACAACTTCTAGCTATTTTGTTAATATTTTTAAACTCTACAAAAATGCCTCGAGGAAGTCTTATCTTTATTTCATAGTTGGGGAAAGAGGAGCTCAAAAATGATACGCAACTTCTCTGAGGACACCAGCAAGTAAGGGTGGGCCTGAATGTGAACCGTCAGGGCAGTGTGACTCCAAAACCCACACTCTGTCCACTCTACCAAACTCAAATTCCATTTCATAGACCCATTATTAATGCTTATGGAGGCATTTTCTAATGTGAAATCTTAATAACACATTATACACAAAGTCTGTCCAGAAAGTATTCATCCATGTACTATGAAAAATAGAGACATTTATCAAAGAAGATACAAGAGACAAGAAACATTGTACATAGGACAATGACTACTCAGTCGCCTTCAAAATAGACACCTTGGGACCTCACAGTTATCCCAGTGTGTCTTCCACTGTTCAAAACATTCTGCAAAATCCTTTGTTGTAATTGCCCTCAGCTGCCCCATCGTATTTTTCTGAATCTCATCGACAGTCTGAAATCTCTTCCCTTTATAGGTAATTTTACTTTTCGGGAAAGCCAAAAGTCGCAGGGTGCCAAATCTGGGCTGTAGAGGGCTGATTCACCTCGATGATTTGATGTTTCAACAAAAAGTTCTGCACAAGACGTGATGCATGAGCAGGCACGTTGCCATGATGAAGCTGCCAATCACCGGTTGTCCATAGCTGCAGCCGTTTTCATCGTATTGCATCTCTCAACCAATGAAGAACAGTGAGGTCATTCTCCTTGTTAACTGTTTGGCCTGTAGGGGCATACCGTGATGGACAATACCTTCCCAGTCAAGCAACACAGTTAGCATGGTCTTGATCTTATGACTTGGCCACAATTTTGCCGTGTGTTCTTCACAGCATGGAAAACCAGGCAACTTCCATTCAGACGACTGACTCTTCGTTTCCAGGTCATAGCCATAGACCCATGATTCGCCTCTTGTTATGACCTTCTTGAAGAAATCTGGTTTACTGGTAGTGATTTGAACCAAGTCATTAGCAAGTGCAGCACAATGGTCCTTCTGCTCTGGGAGCACAGGCCACAGAATGAATTTCACCACTACACATTTCATGCCAAGATGCTGCATCAAAATCTTGGACACAGTAGTTTTTGGAATCCCCAAGTCAGCTTCTAGTTTTTGCACTGTCAGTCATAAATCTTTATTGATTGCAGCCCATAAACGTTCAACATTCTCAGGTGCTCTGCTTGTTGCAGGCCTTTCAGATGTGAATCACTTTTAACAGGTTTCAATCATCCTTGAAGCATTTGTGCCACACTTTTATTTGCACTGCACTCATTGCATTGTCCCTCAAAACCTTCTGAATCATCGGAATGGTTTCCATAGGGGAATGTTCAAGCTAAATGCAAAACGTGATGCAGATTTGTTGCTCTACTCACTCAGTCACTTTGTGTGACGGCCACACAGTGCACATGTTCACCCAAAGGCACCTACCACCCCCACTGACTAATACAGTGAAGTTGTCGTTGTTCATGCATGTGCATTCCAGTCCACTTTCCTTCATTATATTATCAATGGCTGGATTTTTTCTGGACAGATCTTCATACATTCCAAATATATGTAAAATAAGCCACTGAAATTATTAAAGATCAAAACAAAACCTATTCCCAAAGGCAGTTATGGAGAGTTAAACTGTGAAATATATAAAAGTTAGCAGGAAAAAAAACCTGAGGAAAACCAGAACCAAAGTAAAATGTCTATCAACAATATAAGGGGTCTCTTATGCATCCAATTTAAATATACAGGGTCCAGCACAAATAACAGCCCTTTTAATTACAAAATCTTTTATTATAAAATAGTAAGCATGTAATTCTGTAATATAACAGCATCACACTCAAACACACCATATGACATTTTAGGTGAAATGTTCAAATTAAAACTATAAATTATTACACCCATATTATTACCCTACCAACCATACTCAAGCTGACCTTACTTCTGCCAGACTCTGTATTTTAAACATCACTGATGTCATTTCAAAATAATACTTTGATTAGTTCTTTTAAGTGTGATAGCATCTGGTTGTGTTTTTCTTATATAGTAGCAGAATAACAACATTTTAAACCAACATATATCACAGCTAGGTGAATAAAATTGTTCAAAAATATTTAAAAATATACTCTAAGTTGCTTCAGTATACAAAATTCAACAATAAAAAAATTATTATGATACAAATATATAGTGATACTTACAAGTAATACCAACCAAGATGGACCTTATCAGAAATTCACAGATTTGCTTCCATTTAGCCTGAATTTTAGACGTGATCACAGGGATAATAATCTCTGCTGGAACGTAGAACTGAATGGAGTATGTCACAAAGATGCCAAAGGAATACAGAATTTTCACTGATTGATATAACCTGTGTAAAAATTTCAAAATTTAGTCATTCTTTTTTTTCCCCAGCTTTATTGAGGTACAAGTTAAAAATAAAATTGTAATATATTTAAAGTTTACAACATGATAATTTAAGATGCATTGACACTGTGAAAGGATACCCACCAGCGAGTTAATTAACAGACCCATCACCTCATATATGCACTTTTTTTGTGTGTGTGTGTGAAACACTAGTTGTACTGTCTTAGCAAATTTCAATTACACAATGAAGTATTATCAACTACAATCACCGTATCATACATTAGATCCTCAGACCTTATTCATCTTATAAGTGAAAGTCTGTACCCTTCCACCAAGCCTTCTTTTCACCCATCCACCAGACCTGGCAACCGCTAATCTACTCTCTATTTGTATGAATTGGACTTTTTTTTTTTCTTTAGACTTCACATATAAGTGACACCATGCAGTATTTGTCTTCTCTGTCTGGCTTACTTCACTCAGCATAGTGCCTTCCAGGTTCATTCACACTGTTATCTTAGTATGAATCTAGCATTCTCCCTTTTTATTTTTCATGTTATTTAAGAAAGATAAGAAATCCAACACAAGCTAAGACCAGTGTATTACAAATGAAATGCTTATTTATATTAAAAAGCCAACTTATTTCTAAATTTCTAGACAACAGAGGGACAACTCATTTTGACAAGCCTAGAAAGCAGTGGCACGCAATGATTCATGAAATACTGTCAGAAAGATTTCATTTTGAGCTAAGCCAATTTTCTGAAGGTTAGGCTGAGCCCCATAAAGAGCCACTGTTTTTTTCAATTTTCTTTTTAAAAACTTAGTATACTGTATGCCTTTGATATCTCACTCATTTGCATAAAGAAGAAAAACTTCATACTGGACTCTGAGTTACAGAGTTCTCCTTGCTTAAAAAAAAATTGGTAAGTATGGCATTGGTTGCAGAACCAATTTAGATGCCTACTTTGTAGACTAAAGAATGATTCTTCATTCATTCTTCAAAAAAATCAAAGAATGATTTTCAACTTGCAAACTTCTCTGGATGTATAGAAATTGAACCTATTTTAAAGTTGTATTAATTTGGGTTGTTGTTTTGTCCAAGTAAACTTACCTTTTTTTAATGCCCAGTGCTTCAAAAAAGCTCAGCAATTTTCAGTTTTATAAATATCTTTAGATTTCTACATTGTAGATAGCTTCCTGTCAAAACTCAGCATGCATGTCTTAATAAAAACTTTATTAAGTACACATTACAAATGCACCCTATATATTGCTTCATTTAAATAGAATATGGTTCTAATAATAAAGAGAATATTAGGACACCATATTATTTAATTTATTTATAATGTGTACTGTGTTCTGAAAGGATTGAGGATACATACAGTATTGAAGCCGACCAGTAAAATAGCGGGGGACATAAGTGACAGGTTATGTTGTTTTATCAGGAACCCAGCAAGGATAAGTGTTAAACTTTTTATTAAAGTGTCCATATTAAAAGAATCCATGTTTTGCTTTTCTACTTTACTCATTTTTGGAACACCCTACAATTTTTAATCATTTTTTAAAAATCTCATGAGGATCTATAAATCATAGGTGGTCTCCCCTGAAGATTATAAAAATATTCTAGATTATATAAGTAAAGAAATCAGTAAAAAATTCATGTTTAAACTATAAATCCAAGAATTCACCTTTATCATCAAATATTGGCAACCTGTATCTATAAAACACCCAAACCAGTTAAGAAACTCGTATCGACCTACCATACATCTTGAGGAAGATTTAAAGTTATGCTGCCTTTGATATCATCCTGAAAACACATGTATCCTAAGGTAGCTAATGTTACATACAAAGTTGTAACAATTCCCATGCCGATATTCAATGCTTGGGGAAAGCGTTTTGACTCTTTCATTTGATTTTCAAGTGGAAGGACCTAAGAAGAGAATGCAAATAATACAAATAACTTAAACCAATCTAATATCTTGTCTTGTATATATACTTATTAATCTTTCTATACTTTATAAGTAAATCTTTTTCTTTTTAAACACTTAAAATTTTTGAGTATTTTCTATATGCTATACACATTTCTTTTACACTACGGATTTTTAACTCTTAAAAATATTTAAAATCAGTTCTTAGCAAGCAAACCCATTTTTTTAAAAAAATAAGTTTGAACACTTTCCCCCGTTGTCAACATTTTACAACCAAAGTACATTTGTTACAATTAACAACCAACACTGGTACATTACTACTAAACTTCAAACTTTATTTGGATTTTACTAGTTTTTCCACTTGTCCTTTTTCCCATCAGGAAATACCACACTGCATTTTGTCGTTGTGTCTCCTTTGTCTCCTCTGGTCTGTGAGAGCTCCTCGATCTTTCCTTGTCCTTCGCTGCCTTGAAGGTTCTGAGGTACTGGCAAGGTATTTACCATAATGTACCTCTATTTGGGTTTACCTGATGTTTTTCTCATGACTAGACTGGGACTGTAGGTTTTAGAGAAGGATATCGCAGAAGTGAAGTGCCCTTCTCATCATATTTGTAATCAATATGATTTTTCACAGGTGACGTTAATTTTGGTCACTTGGTAGAAGCAGTGTTGACCAGGTTTCTCTGCTTATAAAGTTCTTCCTTTCCCCTCATCTACTCTTGTTCTTTGGAAGTCAGCCCACACTCCGGGGACATGAGGGAATTAAGCTACACCTCCTGAAGGAGGACCATTTACACAAATTATTTGGAAATCCCCCTAACTGGACTGAATTATGTACCTATTGAATGATTTGTTCACATTAGCATGGATTCATTAGTTTTTAATACTTTGAGTAAAAGTAAAAAACCGTGCTATTTATTTTGTTACTCAGATTGCCCTAGCTTTGGTCATCACAAATTCTATCAGGCTGGCTCCTGTGGCCCCTTGACCTGCCTCCATTCTTTTACTTTTTTGAGCACTTCCGTACTTTCTGGCACTACCAGATGTTCCAGACCCATCTTGAATTTCCTTGCTTCAGCATTAGAATCAGTCATTTCTCCAGAGAACTTTAGTTCTTTTGTAGGCAACGATATTTAGAAATCAAGACCTGGATGCTCAGTGTGCTTGTTGCTACTGGGGTCTCACTGCTTCTAGGGCCTCTCAGCAGACAGTGCTAGAAAACAAATGTGTAGTACCCATGTATACACAGTTCTATAACTGTTTCTATATCTGTCCACCTGTGTCTATTGTCTGTTAGTGAGATGAATAAATTATTTTAATTATGTAAAGAAGTGAAGGAAAAGAAAAAAGACTAATTGAAAAGTTTTTAGGCAAACCTTCAGAGACTTGGACTATATGATTTGACTATACTGTAAAAGACACTAGTAACAACAATAGCAATTATTTACTGAGTGTGTACAGTGTTCCACATATTTTTTTAAAAAGCTTTGCATGCCCAATCAAAAGACCCAGGGTAGTTGAATGGATAAGAAAACATGACCCACACATAAGCTGCCAACAAGAGACCCACCTCAGAGCAAGAGACCTACACAGATTGAAAGTAAACGGATGAAAAAAATATTCCAAGCAAATGGGCAAGAGAAAAAGGCCGGGGTTGCCATACTTGTATCGGACAAAGTAGATTTCAAAACAAGGGCCATAAAAAGAGACCCAGAGGGACACTTTAATACTTAAAGGAAGAATCTATCAAGAAGACATAAACATTGTAAACTTATATTCATCCAACAGAGGGGCACCCAAATATATAAGGAAAGTCTTGGAGGACTTCAAAAAAGATATAGACAGCAAAACACTGATAGTAGGGGATTTTAACACCTCACTGTCAAAAATGGACAGATCTTCCAAACAAAACATCAACAAGGATATTCTGGAGCTGAATGATGCCCTGAATCAAACAGACTTAACTGACATATATAGAACCTTCCATCCCAAAGAAGAAAAATACACATTCTTTTCAAATGCTCATGGAAGTTTTTCAAAGATAGACCACATGATAGGACACAAAGCAAGCCTCAGCAAATTCAGGAAAACTGAAATAATATGAAGCTTTTTCTTGGACCACTAGGGCTTGAAGCTGGAAATCAACCTCAAAGAGAAACTTCAAAAACTTGCAAACTCATGGGAGACTGAACAGTACGCTATTGAACAATGAATGGGTCAATAATGAGATAAGAGAAGACATCAAAACATTTCTGGAAACAAATGAAAATGAGCACACAACAGTCCAAAACCTATGGGACACAGCAAAGGCAGTCCTGAGAGAGAAGTTCAGAGCAATACAGGCTTACCTAGAAAAGACAGAAACATTTCAAATCAAAGACCTCACACTACAACTTCAAGAACTGGAGAAACAACAACAAATAAATCCCAGAGCAAGTAGAAGGAAGGAAATAGTCAAGATTACAGGAGAACTGAATGACATAGAGACGAAAAGAACAATCCAAAGGATCAACCAATCCAGGAGCTGGTTCTTTGAAAAGAGAAATACAGTCGACAAGCCTTTAAGCAGACTCATCAAGAAAAAAAGGGAGAGGACCCAAATTAATAATATCAGAAATGAAAGAGGAGAAATCACAACTGATACCACAGAAATACAAAGGATTGTCAGAAACTGCTATGAACAATTAATTATATGCCAAGAAATCTGAAAACCTGGATGAAATGGACACATTTCTAGAAAAGTATAATCTTCCAACACTGAGGGAAGAAGAAACAGAAAGCTTGAGTAGGCCGATAACAGCTGGGGAAATTGAAGCAGTCATCAAGAAACTCCTGGCACACAAAAGCCCAGGGCCAGACGGTTTCCCAGGAGAATTTTACAAAGCATTTAAGGAAGAGCTAACCCCTGTCCTTCTCAGACTATTCCAAAAAATCCAAGAGGAGGGAAGACTCCCAGACTCTTTTTATGAGGCCAGCAACACCCTAATCCCAAAACCAGATAAAGACCCTACAAAGAAAGAAAACTACAGGCCAATTTCGCTGACAAACATAGATGTTAAAATCCTCAACAAAATACTGGCAAACCGCATCCATTAAAAAGATTATCCACCACGATCAAGTGGGATTCATCCCAGGGATGCAGGGATCATTCAATATACGCAAGTCAATCAATGTAATATATCACATAAATAAAAGACAAGACAAAAACCACATGATCATCTCGATAGATGCAGAAAAAGCATTCGATGAGGTACAGCACACGTTTATGATCAAAACACTCAGCAAAATGGGAATAAACGGGGCATTCCTCAACATAATAAAGGCCATATATTAAAAACCTACAGCCAACATCATACTCAACAGAGTATGATACAAAACGGAGTATCATACAAAAACGGAAAGCTTTCCCGCTAAGATCGGGACCACGACAAGGATGTCTGCTTTCACTGCTTCCTTTCAACATCGTATTGGAAGTCCTAGCCACAGCAGTCAGACAAGAAAAAGAAATAAAAGGCATCCAAACAGGAAAGGAGGAAGTAAAGCTATCATTGTTTGCAGATGACATGATAGTGTACATAGAGAATCCTGTAGACTCTACCAAAAAACTCCTCAACCTAATAAGTGAATTTGGCAAAACAGCAAGATACAAAGTCAACATTCAGAAATCAAACGCAGTTTTGTACATCAGCAATGAAATAGAAGAAGAAATCAGAAAAAAAATACCATTCGATATAGCAAGAAGAAAAATAAAGTACCTAGGCATAAATTTAACCAAAGACATAAAAGACCTGTACGCAGAAACCTATACAACATTGAGGAAAGAAATTAAGGAAGACACAAATAAATGGAAGCATATACCGTGCACATGGATTGGAAGAATTAATATCATCAAAATGTCCATATTACCCAAAGCTATTTTTAGATTCGACGTGATCCCTATTAAGATATCAATGATGTACTTCACAGAAATAGAACAGACATTTCAAAAATTTATATGGAACCATAAACGACCCCGAAGAGCCTCAGCAATTTTGAGAAAGAAAAACAAAGTAGGAGGGATCACAATACCAGACATCACACTATACTACAAAGCCACTATACTCAAAACAATCTGGTTCTGTCACAAGAACAGACCCATAGACCAGTGGAACAGAATAGAAAGCCCAGAAATAAGCCCAGGTCTATATGGGCATCTAATGTTTGACAAAGGGGGCAGAAGCTAAAATGGAGCAATAATAGCCTCTTCAACAAATGCTGTTGGGAGAGCCGGACGGCTACATGCAAAAAATTGAAACTGGACCACCAGCTGACACTGTACACAAAAATAAACTCAAGATGGACAAAAGACTTAAATATAAGTTGCAACACCATAAAAGTCCTAAAGGAGAACATTGGAAGGAAACTCTCAGATATCCCACGCAGCAATTTTTTCACTGAGATGTCTCCTAAAGCAAGGGACATAAAGGAAAGAATAAACAAGTGGGACCTCATCAAAATAAGAAGCTTCTGCACGGCTAAAGAAAACATCAGCAAAATGAAAAGGGAGCCAACCGAATGGGAAAATATATTCGCTAATGATACATCAGATAGAGGTTTGATCTCCAAGATATATAAAGAACTCGCTCAACTCCACTCCAAGAAGACAAACAATCCAATCAAAAAATGGGTAAAGGACCTGGGCAGACACTTTTCCAAGGACGAGATACAGAGGGCCCAGAGGTATTTGAAAGGATGCTCAGCATCACTGGCCATCAGAGAAATGCAGATGAAAACCACCATGAGGTACCACCTCACACCGGTCAGAACGGCCATCATAAACAGATCAACTAACAACAGGTGCTGGCGAGGCTGTGGAGAAAAGGGAACCCTAGGACACTAGGAATGGTGGGAATGCAGACTGGTGCAGCCATTGTGGAAAGCAGTGTGGAATTTCCTCAAAAAGCTGAAAATGGAACTGCCTTTTGATCCAGTGATTCCCCTGCTGGGACTATACCCTGAGAACAGCAAAACGCCAATACAAAAGAACCTATGCACCCCAATGTTCATAGCAGCACAATTTACAATAGCCAAGTGTTGGAAGCAACCTAAATGCCCATCAGTAGATGATTGGATCAAAAAATTATGGTACATTTATACAATGGATTACTACGCAGCACAAAGAAAAAATGAACTACTAAACTTTGCGACAGCATGGATGGAACTAGAGAGCATTATGCTAAGCGAAATAAGCCAGGGGGCAAAAGACAAATACCATATGATCTCACCAATAAGCGGAACCTAACCAACAATACAAAGATGCAAGAAAAATAAGACCAGCAACACTGAAAGGAAAAGAATCCAACAGAGACAAGAGGGAAGGAGGGAGGGGCAACGGGGAAAAGGAAGGGAAGGTGAAAGTCAAGGAACATATAGCAAGGACTCATGGACAAAACCAAAGGGGAAGAGCTGAGGGAGGGAGGAAGGGAGGGGGAAAGGGAAAGTGGTGCGGTGTAGGCAGAGACAAATGTATTTGAAAAAAAAAAAAGAAAAAAATAAAAAGCTTTACATGTAGCATTTCACATCATCCTTACAATAACCCGATGAGATAATAACTCTAATTTTATTTCCACTTTTCAGGTGAGTAAGTCAGAAATATGTGGAAATATCAAGTGGTTAACAGGAGAGAGAACAGAGAACAATTTGGGTGCCCTGGGGATAATCAAGACCTGAAATAAGGGGCCATGGTCAAGAAAGGTGCCCCTGAAGCAAGAAAAGGGGAAAGGGGAGGACATTAACATTTACACAGGCTTCCTCTGTGCCAAGCAGCATTGCTGGTACTTTATTACATAAAATCTTATTTACGGAATAGATTTGGGGAAATATGAAAGGACAATCAACACGCCTTAATCACTGACTGGAATGAGAAAACCAGTGAGACTGAAAAAAATTACTCCAATGTTTCAAGCTCGAGTGATTGAAAAACTAAAAGAAATAAGGAAGTGAGAAAGTAAAGCGGGTTTTGCGTAAGAAAGTATGTGTCCCACTTCAGAGTTGTTGAATTTGAGGTGTCAGAGAAACAACACGTAGCTGGAAATGTCCAACCGTTAACTAAAGCTTAATAGGTAAAGACAGAAGTGAAAATTTGAATGAAATATGCCTGTAACAGTAATAAATGGAGCTATAAGAACTTGTGAGGATTCTCTAAAGGAAAATTCAGGGTAAAATGGTATAAAATTGGTTTTAGATATATTTTGTCATGGTTCATATAAACAGATGCTTATAAGTGGTTTTGCTCTCATAACAAACGATCAGACTATGAAACACAAGCTATGGAGTAGACAGCGATACTATATTTTCCATATATCTATACATTCCAGGCTTTTAAAAAATTGGAAGCCTCTTGAATGAAAATACAGTCAAACCTTGGTTTGCGATCATCTTGGTTCTCAAGCAACTCAGTTCTCAACCAAGTTGTTCACAGAAAAAATGTCTCGGTTGTCTAACAAAAACTTCAGGTCCGGATTCTCTACCCAACAACCCTTTCACACTGATACCTATATGATCAGTCATTCATCCCTCAGGAGACAAAGGAGATTCAAAGGAGATTTGTTTTCAAACAAACTGCTTCTTGAACAGTTTTCCAGAACAAATTAGGTTTGAGAACCGACGTTCCACAGTATTTTAAGATCTTAAAATTCTCAGAATGCTGTATCTCTGCAGCTGCCAAGACTGGGCAGGTCCACTCGAGACTCAGGTAAATGGAAGAAAATGTGCAGAGCCGTGGGGATGCCGGACGTGCCTTTAGTCACGGGGGAACGAGCAACGCAGGCTATGGGCCGCATGTCTGTGTCTGCGCACACAGTGAGAAGCCTTCACCTTCTACTAGAACAAACAAAGCCAGCGACAGGCCAAACTGTTAGGTAGCGTAGTATGATTGTGCACATGAGAGCCCACTTCATGTTATGGGAACCATTTATCCGACCCAGTTCCAAGGATATGTGAGACTGACACTCAAGGCTGTGAGAACACTGCTTTATCGGACCCCTTCAAGGCTGTGAGAAAGTGCTTCCCTTAGTTACCCGGACACCTGGGTGAGGGAATCAGACTGCCTCCACTTACCCTACAATCTCTTAGAATTAGCTTTATGATAACATTATTTTTCAAAACAAATATGATATGCACAAATCCAAAGGGAGAATGTGTATGACTCTTAAGAAATAGTAACATTATAACACTTTTAATGTACTTCAAATCATCTAGTCTATACCATATGATGTTTGGGATTTGTCTGGCTATTACTCAGGCTTGGCAGTGTAGATGGAATATAGATAAAACAATATTGGCTATGACTTAATGGTTTTTGAAACAAGGTGATGCTTACATAAAAGTTCGTAATATTTCCAAATTTTGTGTTTTGAAATTTTCCATAATAAAATGTTAAAAATCATCTAATCTAATTTCCTTATGTAACACATTAAGATAAAGAGAATTAGAGAGTTTAAGTCATATGTCTAAACTAAACTCGGTAAATAGAAGAACTAAACTACACTTCCAGTCTGTCATACCAAAATGCAAATTGTGTTCTACAAATAAAGTTAATAGAAACAAAAAAAATACATTTTTAATGTAGCTTGACTACATAAATATTTGCATTGATTTAAGATTTTAAAAAATAATAAAAACTAAATCCTTACCACTCCTATGCCTTCAAAAGCAAATACAGCAGTACCAAAAAAAAGTGGGTATTTTTTCCAGCCAGCCACTACCGGAAGGTTGTGGGGATCTGGCATATTCTGGAGAAAGAAAGAAAAAAATAAGGTAAGTTACATCTGTACTTATTTTAAAGAATTTTAAATGAAAAATCAAAAAGCAAAATCAAACATTTCGGAGCTTCACAACAGCAAATAACGTATTATAAAAAGATATAAATTCTTTCAACAAACACTTTAAGCATCCTATATTAAATGTAGCCAAGCTGTTAGGATTTCATGGCCAAAAGCAGCTGATTTCCTCATGCCCACACATTCCATCTGACCTAAATGATCCTCATTACCTGTTTCCACCTGCAAGTCCCAGGCTGTTCACACTGGGTATGGCTCCTGCCACAACAGGAAATATATAAGCATAATCAAGAGCTGAGCTGAGAGCCTTTTAATCAATTATTAACCACTGTGGATGGTGTTCAACAAAATTCATTCTCCGCTCTATTTTCATTGCTTTTAGTTTCTATGACACCTGGTTCCTGATTTTTACTTTGTACCTCATAACTCTGTTGCTCCCTAGTACAGGTCTCCCCGTTTTCAATGTTTCAGTTTTTGACCTGACAGTTGACATTAACCTATTAACATTCACTTGTGCATATATGCCTTGACTCTGGCTTCGATTACTTGGTCCTGACTCATGTAGCCTTGTTCCAACTCTTGCTATCTGGAAACTCATGGGAACTGTACATCCTGTGCAAGATCTCTGGCTCCACAATGGCCGCTTCTTCCAGCTACACCAAGTCAGGTCCCTACTCTCCTTGTTATCCTGTGTTCTCTACCTTATTTGACTGAAAGTGGAATTCAAGTCCAAGAGGATGAACTAAGAAACAGAAGTGTGAAAGGACACAGGAAATTTGGGAAATAGAAAGCTCTAGAACATCTGAAACTTAGGTAGAATTTTGTGATTAATGATGATACATGACTAAAAACATAAGCTAGGGTCAGAATAAAAAGGGTATTAAACTGTTGGGATCATTTGATAACACTAAACTGTTATTCAAGTTTCCCCCACTCGTGAGTTTCCACGAGGACCTCCATTTAAGGACCTCTTTTTTTGCTCCACTAATTCTTACTTCTTCAGCCAATGGACCAGGAACTCTAGAAAGCCTTGAGATAGTTTTACCTGTCCCTTTCCACTCTTCTATGTTACAAGAAAGAATCTACAAATTTTGGAATTCAGAGATGGGGGAAATTCAGAAATGAAACATACATCCATCATAAGAGAGTTTGTAATGCATTGCTATCAGAGATTTTAGAACAATCACTTCGGCAGCAGTAGGTAAGACAGATTGGAACGGGGAAGATTAGAACAGGGAGTCTCAACCTTTTCTGAGTGGTTGGCCCCTCTACAAGATGAAAGCTATACAGCTGCTCAGTAGAAAACACATTTATACACAGAAACACTAAATCTTGCAAATAATATTAAGGGGTTTGCAGTTCCTATCGATAGATTCTTTTAAGGGAAGTGGATTAAGAATGCACTGGCTATAAACAATGAAATCAGTTGAGGTTATTACATACTTCAGGGAAAAGAGGTTACGGACCAGTGCACTGTCAATGGACCACAGTGGTGGCAGCAAATAAAGGTCCAGAAGTAAAAGAAAATTGTAAGATTAGATCCATACTCCCATCTTTTGTGATTGGTTCAAATCTTAAAGGAATAAACAAAACACTAATAAGTCCTTTGTTTCATGTTAGGCAGTGTACCAAGTCATGATGCTAAATCTCGCAACCCTAATAGGAGAGGTATTACTATCTTCTGAGGCAAGGGCATAGACCCCAGAAGCATATTTACCAAGATTCATCAACAGATCTCACTACAAAGCCTGTACTTTAAATCTCTATATCATATGCTTTTCCAATAAGCAGTATCCTCCCAAAGGAAAGCAAAGTGTACTAATTATCTGCTCTGTGCCACGTATGAAATAGGGGTCTTCACATATCATTATTTTTACCTCCCAAGTAAACAAAGAATTTACTTATTAAGAAACATGACAGTGAAAACTTGTTATACTTACCCTAAGAACATATTGATAAATTATCACAAGGCTGACAGCCATGGAAATGTTGGCAAGGAATGAAAGCACAAATAGATTCTTTAGCTCACGAATGAAGACCAAGAGAATTATAAATGGAAGAAAGCAAAGCATATATATCCTTAGGTCAATACTTCTTCTCTCACATGGATTTGATGAATTGGTACTATTCAAAACAAACACTTTACTCTCCAGGAATCCTTCATGAACCTACATAGGATTATCAAGAGAATAAGACAGGGGGGTAGAGACTTCCATCAACTTAGAATCATAAAAAGGGAAATAAAAAGAAACTTATGATCTATACACACAACGATAAAATCCTTTATGTTATTTACATTTGTCAAGATGCTCTAGCTTCATATATATACAATATACATATGTAAAATTTAAGGGTAATTAAAATAGGATCACTTTCTTTGCAAAGTAACTTCCTTTATTATACTGTGAAGAGCAAGTTCACTAGAAAATTATGAAGGTAATTTTACAAATTTATTTTGAAGCTTTGTGACTAACCATGATGCTTCATGATCCCTGCAAAGGCTCAATTTGCTTCTGAGATAATCAAAAGGGGAAGCATACTTGTCTAGAATGGCTGCTGGTATGCTATCTCAAGTTATTTTTTTCAAAGTAGAAAGCTCTAAGTACCTCTTAGAAATGTACAGTAGGCAAGACAAAATTTAGAAATCATAGCTTTAAAATTTCTGTATAAATCATTTATACATTATCATCATATCAATAATATCTATTGAGAATCCACTAAATTCATGCATGGTCATATGCTAGACAGTAGATAAATTTTTGCCAGAGCAAAAAACTTTTATAAAATAAATCATCTTTACCTTGAAATTTATTCAGCCCAAGTTTTGCTAGAGCAAAAAACTTGTATAAAATAAATCAACTTTACTTTAAAATTTATTCAGCCACTTTAAACCAATATTCAGTTTTCAAAATAGATACAATGATTTACAGGATCCATATATTAAAACTTGTCTGATTCAATTAACCACATACCCAGTTTACTAAAATAGAAACAAAATGACAGAGAACTTTAAAAAACTCACAGCAGAGGCAGATTATACCATAATTTAAACACCCATGGAAATCTATTTGCCCCCAATACTGTACTCTCCTTTGAACACAATGACATTATCAAGTCCCTGGATACATAAATCCTTAAGAACTAGACCTTACAGTAATAATAGAAAGTATCTTTTGAGTACTTTCTATGTGTCTGTACATCCAATTAAAATCTCAAATGGGTGATAGTATTAATTTCAATTTATAGTTGATGAATCTGAGGTTTAAGAAGTGTAAAGAAAATTTCCATAATATCAAGCCAGTAAGTGGTGGTTGTATAATTCAAACCTAGGCGTGAGACTCCAGAATCCAACTTGCAACAACTATGGGTTAACCTGACCAACACGCTGCAACGCCGAAGGCAGGGCCTACCCAGGTAACCACCTGGCCTCCACTCCAACATCTCTAAATACAATCAGTGCTAACAGGCCAACAAATCAGAAGTTTAGAACAAAATTCTCACATGGTTAATAATTCAAGTGTTTTCATTAATTTTACATTTATAATCCATGATAAGCAACACTTAGTGCATATAAAAATGTATACATCATCTTCAACGCAGAGAATGTATCTACTACTTCAGGTTATATAGGCAATTCATTACTAATATCAGACTAACAAACTCTCAGGTTACACCACGCACCATTTAAGAAATGCAAAACTCACATTTATCTTGTAACTAGCCATCAAAACTACCTATTTTCTATAATTTGAAACAGAAGCTAAATTGGTAATTCACATTACTTGGCTCTTGAAAAGATATTTTATTTATTGACTCAATTTTCTCTGTAACCAAATGATTTGGAGCCAAATACTTCTGCATCAAGAAGTAACTCCAATAATTGGATTAGATATTGATCCATGTTAAGCTCTAACAAGGATAGCTGGCTGACAAAAGAAAAGCAGTTATATAACCAGTTTTTAAAAGGGCTATTTGAATCATTAGGTGCTTGGGAATCTGAAATTAATTCTATCACAAGTATCTCATAATAATTTAGTATTCTTTGGCAGAACAATGGTTATAAAAATTCTCAGGATTAAAAAATAAAATAAAAATGTAGATACATACCCAGAGCAAGATTCAGGTAAACATTTGAGTCCTTTGGTGCCCTCTAGAGACAGAGACTGGCTATCTAATAGGACTTCCTATGATCTCACATGTTTACCAAAATGCAAAACACTGAAATAAATATTATAAAATAAAATTACTAAATTCAGTTGTTTCCACTTAGAGCTCAAATTTACTAAAAACCACTACTTATTAACTTTTAAATTATTCGGAAATTTAATAGTTAAAATTCCACAGGCAGACTACGTGTTTCGGCAAAGCCACAATCAGAATCAACGCCGTATTACCCTGCATTTGTATGCTGCTTCACATTTTACAGTCTTTCACAAACCTTTTGTGAGCTGAGCAGTAAGTTTATGAGGAACGAGGGGAGATTCTGTTACTATTCCCATTTTATAAACAGGGAAACTGAGGTTTGAGTAGAGGTAAGGGTCTTGTCCCATGTGTGAGTTAAAACTGAGGGAGCTGGGATTTGAATTCAGATCTTCTGACTCTAAAGCCCATACCAAGTCTTTGGTATCGCTACATTTTTTTTCCTAATGTAGTATCCCTTCCCCACTCTTCAGGCCCATATATACTACTTTATCTATCTGAAATTTTCTCAAGTATCTTAGAGCAAGACCAGAGAGGAGCAATAACCACAATGGACTAAATCATCCGAAGCACTACAGCTTTTTCACGCTGCCAATTGTCTGCGGTGGCTTAATGAGACCAAGAACAGCCAGATGGCAGCTACAGAGCAGGATGTTCACACATCTGTACAACAAAACCCGTAATTCTTCAATTTGATAAAATACCACACTTCAATTTTGTGTAGATTAAGGCAGTAATAATCTGACAGTTTTTATCTGTGTCAGTAGTAGTAACTGGTAAGGTTTAATCAGCCTATGTGTCTACAACTGGAGACGGCTATCGAACATGGGAGAATGCCTGTGTAGAAAGTGAGATTCTCTGCCGATGCTGTTTCAGTGACCATCGGTGTGCTCTGCAAAGGTGACAGGCTCATTATTCCTTTCAACTTTTCTCAAGTCTCAATGAATGTCTTTTTCCTTGTTGCTCTTTATGCCTCAAAAGGACTTTCATCTTTCTATCTATAACAAGCATTCTCCTTACCTCCCAGAGAGTCACTTTTTCTACCTGGTATTCTAGCATATGTGCAAATGAGTTAAATTCTTCCATTTAATTTTGGAAGCAACTGATATTTTATAGGAGAAAGTCACCAATCCTAAGCTTGCAGACATTTATTTTATGTACTTCATATACTCTTTATGTCACACACACATACACACACACACGACTAAAATCAGACAATGTTCTGTCCTGCGATGAACAGTTAACACACTGGGTGGCAGCTGTGTCAGACCCCTAGATTTTAGCCTAATTCCATTGACTTAGGTCACACTGCTCATGCATTGTGAGACTCAGTTTCCTCATTCGTCAAATGAGCCCAGTACTGACATTACAGAGTAGTTGCAAAGATTAAATGATATATGTCACAGCTTATAAATATAAGATCATAGGCATTATTAGCATTATTTACTATTCATAAATTCAAATCAAGTTTGTTGGTTGCTTTCTTAGGAGATAATGAAGAAATAACAGTCCACTACCATGTTGCACAATCCTAGAAAGGCATCATTTTCACTGTATGTATATTATTGGTAAGATGATGTCTTACCAGTTCTTGACAAAAAATAGCCTCTCAACTGAGTTAGTAGTCCTGGAAATATGCAACTTGTGGAATTAAATACTTACAAAATTAAAAGCACATCATCTGTAATGAGTAATGCTAATGAAAGCATCAACTGTCTTATTTATAAGAAGGGATTTGACTCAATGAGCCTTTCCAACATTAGAAATCTAAGCTAGTGGCTTTTAAGCAAACTATAGTCCACAGACCAAATCTGGCCTATTTTTGCAAATAAAGTTTTATTTGAAAGCAGCTGTATCTACTTATTTATGTATAGCTGTCTCTGGCTGAGTTAAGACACAGGCCATATGGCCTACAACACTGAAAATACTTATTATGGACTTTTACAGAAAAAGTTTGCCAATTCTTGTCTAAATATAAAATGAAGCATTTTGTATACTTAGAAAAGCAAGTCAAACAAATGACTTATATGGATACATATGGGTTCTTTAGAAAATATTCACATCGTAATTTTACATTAAAATACGTACCAGACAAGTATTATATATTACTATCTATAATGTCTACCACCGTACCATGCACATGTTCATAATTAATGAATGTTATTAATTAAAGAGTAAGGTGTAACATGAGAATAATAAAGGCAAACTACAAGTTAAAGCACATAAAGAAATGTGCTTTGTCATTGTTTTGATAGGGGAGCTTTTTTATTTCAGTGCTTTGCATATTTGTTCAAATTGACAGTCTCTACTAACACTGCAAACCACTACCTCTTAAAGCAAACAATTCAATACAGAGAGAACTACAGAACACTGTACGTATCTAGACACAGCATCCTTTTAGACAATAGCAATAATTTTTGGATTTTAGTAATGTCCACTTTTGTACTTCACTTTTTAGGCTGCTGGCTAAAGCTTTACAAATGTCTCTATAAACTAGCAATGTAAAACATATGCTCCCAAAATCTGTATCTAAATCTCGAGTAGCTAAGAATCAGTAAATTATGTCCTGTCCTGATCTGAAAGAACAAGCATTATTGCTATAATGACAAGAAAAATAAGACGAAAAATAATAACAGAAATCCAACTTGCAAAAAGGAAAATCTACAAAGGAATACGATTAAGGAAAGAAACACATCTGCATATTTAACCATGACTTACTCAGAGGAAATATGATGCTATGACCATGGCATTGGAAGAAAATGACTTCAGTAACAGGAGAAAAATACTTACTTGTTTCACATTTTCAGCTAAGAAGACAATATAAACACTACAGAAGCCCAGCTGTGTTATCACCAGAAAAAAGTCAACCACACTCCTGAAAAGAGATGCCCTCAAATGAGTATCGTTAAGAGCTGCTGAAATGTCAATATGTATTTTCTCTTTTTAACTACTTCAGAACATTTTATCATAGTGTACATTCTTTTCACTTCCTTAAAATAATACATAAAATATTTATTTTGTACAAAAATAATACATTTATGATCAGTATGTCACTAAGTTATTATTGAGCAAAAGAATGTCCCATCAAGTTAAAACGCCAAAATTTTCCCACCACTTATTTCTGAAATTCAACAATTTATAAGTATCTGCTTATAAAGTGATTTAATAAGAATATTATTTCTTTTAGATTAAGTGTATCTTTCGTACTTCTAAAGGTCTTTTTCAGATCATCCCAGTGTATTTCCCAGCTCTCCCGGCTTCATGTCATTTGCTAATATGATGAGCATACTCTCTACTATCAAATCACGAATAAGAATATGAAATGGGGGGCACAGGAGGCATGGCCCTAAATCATACCATCGGAGACCTCTTCAGTAACTTAGCTCCATCCTTGTTTTTAATTACATGCTCTAGAAAATTCCAGCTATATAAAATAGTGTATGGGAGTGGGGAAAGGATCTCACCAGTCAAATTAGCATTATTTGGGTGTGGTAGTTAATCAAGTCACAAATTTGCCTTCATGTTAATATACAGCCTATACTCCTCAATTTTGTTCTGGGAACAAAGAGTGCATATACCTATTAATTCATTATAGTCTCTTGTTTGACCATCAATGTAAAACTGTCAAATAATCTGGCCCACGAATCTACAGACCTTCTTCTGCCTTCTGAAACTAGAAGAGCCCTTGCCTGCATCATTCCTGCCATATCTCTACAGTTCTCTCCATGGTTCCTCAGAGATCTCATTTGTAAGGAGCCTTGGTACCCTGAAATGAATTCAAGTTTCTTCTCTCTGATGAATTATATTTAAGTATTCCCTTAAAATCTCTTCATTCACCTTGGACTTTAGTATCCCATCAACAATCATTCCAGCCACTTCCATGTGAAAGCCATTTTTCTTGATAGAAAAAACAGACAAGGTTGCCTCTAGACTGGAGCAGAAGGAGGAAGAAGATACCCTTCTGGGGGCAAATCCTGAGGGCATGAAACTCTGTTTCTTCCTTTTCCTACTCAGTATTTCAAGAACTCTTGAGAAGCTCATAAACAAATTTAAACTCCTAAAAATCCTAGAAAGGTGTTATTTAACCATAAGCTACTTTATTAACACTGTTCTTTTTCTTCTTTTAAATTTAACCACACATATCATTTGTACCATAGTTAACACTTTGTTGATTGCCTATGCTTATTTTTCCAGGCCTGTATTCATCTGACTTTGATTAGCCACGTTCACTGATGAAAAACGTTACATTTAAACAATAAGATTAGAGTATGCTGAAATATATGCTTCAGATGTCTTATAACCATGTAGCTAAACAGCATAATTTCATCTGAAATAATGAGATAACTTTTTTCTTGTTCTTCTCCTTTACTTAAAAAATCACTGAACATGCTTATACCATAGGTTAGCCTACTGCTTCATAAACATCATTTTATTTAAACTGCTGTAGTAAGCCTGTGATGCAAGTATTATTATAAACTCATTTGATAATGAGGTAACTAAAACAAAATGATAATTTGACCAGGTCACAAAATTGAAAAGTGGTAGAATTGAGACCTGAACCCAAGTCTATCTAACTTTGAAGATTACATTTATTTCCTGAACGTTATCATACTTCTATTTAGTATCTAGTCAGATTACATTACTTAAAATTAATATAATTTCAATAACCGGATATCAATAACACAGCAAGTCCTTACCGTCCCCATGCTGCTTGCTTCTGAAGACAACTCCAAGGACTTACTTCCATTGCAAAGCTCACAGTGTCACTATAACCTAATGTTGACTTTTTAAACCTGAAATGTAATAACATATGTGTAAGTGAAAAAAAGTAAGTTAGTTCATAAATTCTCCCCTTGAAGAGAACATCAAATAAATAAGAAGTAATTAATACAAAGTTATGCTCTAACGGGAGTTTTTGAAATTTCAAGAATTTCATACTCATAAAATATGTCTCATGAAATTTAAATATTTATCTGTCCTATTTCCAACATATTTGTTTTATCTACTATAAAAAAGTTTATATATTTGTAGAATTCATATGACATAAATATTTATGCTTCACCAATTTAAACATTTCAATTACCTAAAAATATCAACTACATTGTTCATGTCTCAATTATTTCATTATTAGAATAGCATGATTTAATACATCTATACAAGGCTTTATAATATATTTTCACATATATATCTTATTTAATCCTCAAAATAGCCCCAAGAGGTAGTACTAGTTCTTCTGTCCTCTATCCTATTTTTTTTTCAAGTATACATTGTTATTTAAAGAGCATAAATGACTTGCCCAAAGTTTAAAGAACATTTAAAACCATAACAACAAAGAGTTAAGATTAGAATATTAGTTTACTGGAATAGACGCTAATTATTTTTTAATAGCTGGCCCATTGTCCAGTAGAGGTATTTCATGACACAAAGATAAAGAAAAAAATATTATTTTATAGACTACCTACTAATCCACATATCTCCAAAGAACACCAAAGTCATTATACCCCAACTGAATTACCAATAAATTAAAGAGGATTACGCTATAACTAAAAGCAGTACTGCCTTCATTTCCCCATATATCTTTCCTGATTTTTTTCACTTACACTAAGTAAAAAAAAACCACTCTATTCCACTAAGAAACCATTCCACAAATAAGACTATATTTTAAAAGAAGTAAATATATCTAACCAGAAATCACTAATAAGTCTGTATTTTAAAAGAAGTAAATAGGCCCAGGTAGTTCAGTTGATGTCCCAATATGCCAAGGTTGTGGGTTTGATCCCTTGATTCTTGTATGTGGTCAGGGCACATACAAGAATCAACCAATAAATGCACAAATAAGTAAGGAAACAAATTGGTACCTCTCTCTCCCTTCCTCTCTCTCCTGAAAATCAATTTTTTTAAATAAATAAATTTTGACTAGATTTCAATCATATGAAATGTTACCTTTTTCCACATTATCTTAAACTTGTCTATATAACAAATTACAGGAAATACAACTAGTAGTTGCCAAGCAGAGTAAAAATATAAGACTAATGCTTTAAGTAACTACACAGCTTCAAAATAAATACTTAACAAATCCACATTTACCTCTGACATAGAAAGTGACTGCAACGTACCAAAATGTGCATACAGTGAACAGAAATAATTCCTATAAACACAAGGCTGATTGGTCCAAGCTATAGGGGAGAAAATTATAAGGTTTAAATATTTAAGTTTCACAAAAATTAAGTTGCCTTATAAGCAATGAAACAATGAACTACTCATCTGCAGTAAATAAATATTGTTGGACAAAATAGTTAAGTAATTATTTGTATAAGGGAAAGCTAATAAAGTGGATACAGAAAGAATTTCAGTAACACTTAACCACATGATTCCATATTATCAACTTGGCAGTCTAAACCTATGAATACACAGTATACATATGCAACAAAGGCAGATGGAATACAACATCTTATTTAACACGAGATGGCAAGTCTATCACTACTAGTGTCCCGACATAATAATTATATGCAACAATTAATCATTACCCAAATGATTAAAAAAGTACTATATCAATCTTGGATTGTGGACAATCCACTTCTATAGTTTGCCGGTTTAACACTATGTGTGACAAAATGTGTCTAGAAGATAATTATTTGAAAAAGTAGTACAAAACAAATTTCAAGTATTTATTACTATAATTAAAGTTATTCCTGGATTATTGAGACACAGACAAAATATTGCCAAAGTTTATTTTATAATCAGAAATTGTTAAGTTTCTCTAGATAAGGATGGACAAAGTCAAATACAGAGAAAGATGATAATTAAAACTGTTTCTTAGAAAACTCATCATTTAAAAAAGATTAAATATAATCTCATTACTTCATAGGTGAATTCTCCCCTATCTAGATTCGCTGTAATTATAATTGGTTCTAACAATACTTTAAATATTTGTTTTCAAAAAATATTATTCTTTTTTTTACTATTGTTCTTTAAACCTGAAAATTATGTGTTTTACTCTGAATCGAAAAAACTATAAAATTTCACTAATACAAATGATCTGTTCTATAAATGTATTTGCTAATATGAGTACACTGCTTACATCCCTGAAAATCCAATAATAATAAGATATAAAAATACCTGAAAAAAATCAAATACTATTTTAGGATCTTTCCGTCAAATAATACATATTAATTAGGTAGGAAAAAAGTAAATAACTGTCATTTTTTTGTTAGATACTATTATCATAGTTCACATAACTTTATCAATATGATGGCTAAATGATTCCTAATTGTCACCTGACCATATTTTAGTTGACAAGGCCAGATAATAATCTGTGGTGATTTTTTCTGTACATTAAGGCTGACAATGGTATCTTAACTAGAGAGTCTTACCACTATGCCTGCATTCTTTATTGCCAATGGAAGTCCTAAAAGGCCAGTTCCAATATTTCCTTTAAGAAGATGCATAAGAGTTTGTAAAAATCTGAAAAATAAAAGTTGTAAGATTTAAACATCTTAGAAGAAAAGCTATTAAAATCACACCATCATGATTTTAGCATTAGGAGGTAACTTGAAAATTAATCCAGGCAAGGAATCAACATTTCCATTCAACCACAAGTTAAATGGGCCAGAGGTCATATTTGGTTCAAGTTCCATTTTTGCCACTTAGATATAAAATACAGAGGGTTATTTTGGAGATTAAATGAGATATTTAAGTAAATTATTTTTGTACACATTAGAGTAATAAAAAATAACTGGCTCATTCTTTGCTGCTATAATATTCAGAACAGTGTTGAAGATTAAAGCTAGGCTGGTAAGACATCATTTATTGACATCATCTATAATCATAGTACTAAACATATTTGATCTATGATCTGTGATCAGTGTAAGAGAAAGTTAATCAAACAAAAAACACACAGGTTTTAAAACAATGTGTGCCATCAGGTAAGATAATACTAATTAACTTTTAGACTTTATGAACTCCCTAAGGGATTTCACCTAATAAAAGTTTCCAAGAGGCACTTGAAGGAGATCTCTTAACCAAGAAAAAAATAAATAAACTAGGACGAATAGCACAAGTTTCAAATTTATGAAATAAAAATGCTTGCTTAAAATTTTTTGGTTTGTACTATTATTTTCTTATCAATTAAAATGTTACTTTGCTTAATCATTAAATTACTATTAGAATAGGGACTTACTCAAATCTATTAAAGATGATAAAATGATGAAAAAGGTTTAAAAAAAGTTCCATTGCATAAAGAAGGGTTTACTACCTACCTCCCACTGTCTAACTTCTATCCACTTCAGAAGCAACATATCTTAAAATTTCTATTCTTCTCAGTCAGATCTCCCTTCAAGCATTTGAAATATATCATCATTGTAGTAATTCCTATATACTGCTCTGTAATCTAGCTGTATTTCTTTTTTCCCAAATAGACTATAAACACCTTGAGGGCAGGGACTATGTCTTTCATTTGTGTCTTTTGTAGTACCTAGTAAAGTGCCTCACCAGTAGAAAATGATCATACAATGTTTACTAAATGAAAAAAAAAAGGAAACATAAACCGTAACACTTACGAAATACCCCCCTGATCATCAAGTTGGTAATGCTTCTGAACAGGTAGGAGCTCTTGCTCATGTTCTTCGTCTGATGTCCCATCAAAATTCTGCTCATTTATTAAGGGCATCATTACATCCATATCTTCAAAGAGAAAAACAAAGTACTTCACTATTATTTTAAAAAATAGGTTCTGGCAAGTATAAATTAATTTTTTTAAGTAGTACATAGCACTGGCGCTCATCTTTGCTACTTCTACCCTATATTAATTCACATTAATACCCCGAGTTTCAGTATTCTTAAAAAGAAACAACTAGATTTATTTCCTGGATATTCTGTTTGGACTAAGCAGAGCAAAGTGAAAGGTAAATTTTTTCTGCTTTGTCTGCATGAGGTTTACAGTAAATGATCATAGAATTATGGGATAAGAAATGCAAAGAAATAATCAAATGAATTTTTACCTCATTAGCTTCAAATCATACTATACATTGAATAAATAAGTAATAATTGTATTTTTAAATATTTAAATTATAAAGCTATTCCAATCATTAACATTTTAGTATCAAAATTTTCTTTATCAATTTCTAGCATGATTTTGCTTCTGTGAGGAAGAAAGATAACACCAGCCATCAGTGTCTGTCTTGTTCTAGTAAAATTCACTAAATTCAGATTTATTGAGATGACTGGTATGCATTAGCGAAGTCTGAAGTACAGGATATTTTAAAGACATGAAAGTTTATTCCATTCAAATACAATAAACCTATAAAACAGGGAGCTGGAACAGCCTAAATGATCTAGTTGAGAATAAATGATTGATATATAACTTTTTATTTTGGAATAATTTCAAATTTACTTTAATTTTTCAGGAACAGTACAAAAGCCCTGACCAGTGTGGCTCAGTAGGTTGGGTGTCCTCTGCAAGGCGAAAGGTTGCCTCTTCGATGCACCGTCAGGGCACACGCCTGGGTTTGAGGTTCAGTCCCCAGCTGACTGATGTTCTCTCCCTCTCTTTCTCCCTCCCTTACCCCTTCTCTAAAAATAAATTTTAAAAAATCTTTAAAAAAAAGATTTATCACAATGTATTAAAAAAGAATAGTACAAAAAAACTTCTATGTATCCTTTACAGACTCACCAATTTTTAACATTTTGCCACATTTGCTTTTTCTCTCTCAAATGTTTATCACTTTTTATAAACTACTGGAGAATAGGTTACATATATCATGCCACTTTACCCTATGTATTCCCTAATAACAAAAGTATTTTCTTGAATATTCACATTACAGTTAATTTAGGTAATTTAATACTGATGCACTACTTTTATTTAATCTACATTCCATATTCCAATTTCTCAATTGTGCCAATATAGTTCTCTTCATAGTTTTTTCAGTGCAGGATCAAAGTACTACATTTAGTTGAGTTATTACTCTTGTCACTTATGTCATTATGGCTTTTATGATGGCCTCAGTTCTTTTTTTCTTAATTTTTTATTGTCTAGTTTGTCAGTTTTTTAAATTTAGAATGTCTTTATTAATATGGTAACTACTGTCCCCTATTAAAAAACAATGACATTTGTCTTTCAATCTGCCAAGCTGGCTAAAAATTCATGGGTCTATTTTACATCACATGATATAGGATGCAGGATGCTAAAATCAACTTAATAAGCATTAAATAATTTCACACATATACAGAATCTTGAATAAGTGCTTAAAATTATAGATGAACATTAATGTGGGCACATGGATATTCAAGATACACCAGTGAACTTAATAGAAGATGTGTTTGCACTGATTTCTGGTAACCAACTTATTTTCTGTGAATCTTTAAATATCCAAATCCAAATATTGCAGCTCCGAGAGAAGGGCTTTCTTTTTTTGAATTTTCTCCAACCAGTTTTTTTTTTTCCTAGCTGTTTGCTTGTTCCTTCAATTGTTCAACTGCTTTCAGTTTCTTCTTCAGGTTTCAGATTTTTTTTGTCTATCTCAAGGTCTTCAAAAGTTGACTGGGAGTATTTTGTGCTATGCTCTGTGGGGCCGGAGTAGGTGCCAAATCTGGACTCATCACTTCTTGCTTCCCGCTTTGCAGCTTTCTCAGCTTAATCTTACCTTTAAATTTTAAGGGCTGTTTTTGATAATGGTTTACCATTTCCTGATTATGGTTTCATATTCTGAGGTGGCTCCTCCTGCAGTTTAGAATTGGTGATTGGTTCATTTTTTAAAGCTGGGAGCCTATAAGCTGTTGTAACTTTACACTCTTCATTGAGTATGTCACTTGACTTACCATGAACTGCATGGTAAGTTACTGCTTTTGCTGGAGATATTCCATCGAAAAATAGGTGCCAAGAAACAAGTCATAATTCTACATGTGATGGAATATCATACTTCTGCAAGACAGAGTGAGTATAATTCCAGACTTTGTGTCTATTACGAACACATAACCTGGGAACACAAAAGGCTGTTAAAACATGCTCACCATCTGGGCATCAACTGTAATACAGAGAATCAAAGGCCACTAGTTTAGAAATAAGTTTGTAGTTTTTAACATTCCACACTTTGATTTGTCTCCTCAGATTTCCAAATCCAGCCAGTACTAATAATATGCCCATGAGGACTATAGCAGGCTGCATTATGAGGACTAGTTCCAAAGTCAAACACAGGGTCACACTCTAAGTTAAAAATTGCCACGTTGGCAGGCATAAAATAAAAAACAGCACCAAACTCAGTAGAATTAAAATTCCAAACTACATCATAAATCAGGCCATTTTTTGGTTAATTGCACTATAGCACTTCTCTGTTTGCTGCAACGTAGTACAGCATTTATTATTCATTGTAGGAAGTTCCAGTCTTGTCAACAACATCTGCACTAGCTGTTACCAACACAGCAGATATTTTTATTCCATAGCATTGTAACCTTATCCACCTCAGAGACCTTTTTTGGCTAAAGCTGTATGAGCCCATCAGAGCTGGGATACTGATACAGTCTAACAAACGAAGCTGCACCCTTACTTCCTGGAACCTGGACAGCCACCTTGTGTGGCTGGGGGATCCAGATAATCAATAATTTTTTGATAATGCAATTTATTTGCAATTGTATTGAAATTACTGTTTTCAAAGAAGTGAACTTCAATGTTAACATTTTGGGCACAAATAGTTTCATATTCTGATCAGGATGGACACCAATTTTGCATATTTTTTTCTGACTTAAAGACAATGTCCCAGTTTCCACATCACAAAGTTGGGAATCCCAGCTGTGCCATCTTTGAAAGTAGTGTAAGGCTGCCACATTGCCAGGACAGTATTTTGGGCAAGAACACAAGGCAAACCGCCTTTGGGAGACTGAAGAGGTGCAGGAGTCTCTTGTTAGTAACACTGATAGTATTTATTTTTTCTCCATTGCCCCAGGCAAACAAGGTCTTATCCTTATTAAAGCTACAGTCTTTGCAATTGTTCCCAGACTTCTTTGGAAACACTGTGCTTTTTGTAAAATGTGGTGGTCCACTCACCAGGTACAGTCCTTCCTGTACTGTCAGGAGTGGTGTACGTGGTATTGTTTCGTCCTGGAAAAAGCTTGTCAGTTTTAAATGGTATCCATCACCTATGCAACAATTAATGGTCTTATTCTACTTCTGCCATTCTCTGTCTCTTACTCCCTCATTTCTTACTTGCATTCTTTCTACTTTGGCAATATATATGATGCTTTACACACTGTTTTCCCAATCATGTCCCCATGCGTGTCTCAGACTTACAGATACAATCAATATATTAAATGTTTGCTATCAGTCCTCTGCCAGTTTCCTCAGTCATCCCTTGGCTGGAAGAGGTTCATCCTTTTGTAGGATTTGCATCAGAATGACCTGCAAGGCTTGCTAAAACACAGAGTGATGTACTCTGCCCCAAAGCTTCTGATTCAGCAGGGCTGAGGTGGGCCTGAGAAAATACGCATTTCTAACAAGTTCCCAGGTGATTCTGATGATGCTGGTCTATGGACCACACTTTGAGAATCACTGCTGTAGTACTGGGTTGGCCAGAAAGTTCATTTGTTTTTCTTTTTTCCATAAAATGGCTCTAGTAGCACTTAGTTGTCTTTAACTTCATTTGAAATAATTTTGTCAGGCAGTATTGTGACAGCTGTCGTACCAGCATACATTTTTTTAAAAAACTTACCAAAACTGGTGAATTTTTGTATAGCCATTTTAATATTGAAGATAGAAGAAACTACATAACATTTTCAGCATGTTATGCTTTATTACTTCAAGAAAAGTAAAAATGCAACCGAAACACAAAAAAACAGATTTTTGCGGTGTTATGGAGAAGGTGCTGTGACTGACTGAACGTGTCAAAAGTGGTTTGCAAAGTTTTGTGTTGCAGATTTCTCCACAGTAGGGCAGGCCTGTTGAAGTTGATAGCAATCAAATCAAGACATTAACTGAGAACAATCAAAACTGTGCCATCCATGTAGGAGATGGTCAACATACTCAAAATATCCAAATCAATAAAGTTACTGGTGAAAATGAAAAACATGTCTTTTATTTTATGGAAAAAAACTATACAGACTTTTTGGCCAACCCAACAGATTTCTCAGGAAGGGTTTATGTGCACAGTACTCCCTGAGTTTTTGCCTGTTTTAAACTATTTTTCTCCAGCCTTGATACAATGGACAGCATGATATATCATCTTTGATGCACACGTTCTATTCTTGAGTTTCTTGAAAATGCTCCTCCACTCTTTCCTTGCTTTGTATGCTACTCTTGAGAAGTCTGATGCCAGACTAATTTTCTCAGTCATTATAATTTGTTCTTTTTGCTTGAGGGCCTGAAGATTGTATCTTCAGGTTGAGTGTGCTGAGTCAATTTTCCCAGAGACACAGTGGGCCTTTCTGGTATGTAAATTTAGATTTTTTTCTCTTATTTATGGAAAATTTTCTTGGGTTATAGCTTTAAATATTTGCTTAATTTAAATATTTTGATTTTCTTCTTTAGAGGTTGTGTGTTGGGTTGTCTTTGCCTATCTTCCATTTCAACCACTTTCTCTCTGACCCTTTTGATGTCTTTCTTACCTCATTTAAATTCTTCTTTGAAATCCCACGGCTCCTATTAAATTTTCATTTTAATATATTCTCCCTTGGATACCTTGTAATTTATTCTTTAC